CCCCCCCCCCCCCCGACATTTTATCTATAAACTCTTAAGCCTTTTCCTTACTGGAGAGTTAGAATTGAGATGCACAGAGTGCCCAGGGATTTTGACCAGAGCAGATTGATTACGGTAATAGCAGCTGTATTGGTAACTGAATAACTCCAGTTATTTTCAGAAAAGTTCTTCTTTTTATTACATACTAGTTTTGTCCCTCACCTGCAAACAATAAGGAGCTGAATGAATCCTGAATCTTAAAGATTATTCCTAGTGTCTTAGTTACTAGAGCAGAAGCAGTCCTTCAGGGCAGCCAGTGTAACTTCACACATCTCACTTGAACATGTAAGATGGAAGTGTGTGTTGTCAGGAAGCCTTTAGAAAGCTTCCTTCTTATTTGATGACACTGGGAATCTGTTCCCCAAAGTTTGGTACCAAAAACAGATGGTTTCCTTGGAGCTAGGAACTGTTGCACATTCAGATATGCACTTATCCATAGTCTTGTCACTTTTTTTAATTTATAAAAGATTTTCTGTTATGTTACAAGAGTAACAGTTTTCTAACTCAAAAATTCTGTAGCTGATATTTGGGTGGAGAGAAGAGTGATCAGTATGAAAAGTCTATTGTAGACTCCAAACACTATGCTACTTCCAGGTCAGTCTGAGTATCTTTTTATTTTTTCACAAAAGAAACGTTACTGATTTAAAAGTCCATCTTTCTCATCAAAATGCTTCACATTTTGTTACATCAAATGCTGTAATTTCTCAGATCGTACTTCAGATGTTTGCCTCTGGCCCCAATAAATGGCCTTAAACCATCCTCATCTTCATTGTGTTTTCTGCTCATGCACATGGCTGAGTGATGGTCTGTCATTCTGCTGAATTTCTTCCAATGGTTGTCTATACCAAAAGGCTTGAAACCACTGAATTAGTAAATTTGCATTCCATGATGTGATTAGAAAAGTACTATATCTAAGCCTCTTGATTACGTACTGTATCTGAATATTTTGTATGTGAATAATTTTTAATCAGTTTAAATTTACTTAAATGGAATGGTACCTCTATTGTTTGAGATCATTTAGCCAGAAGAATTGGAAACAACTAGAAAACTCTGTTCCTAAGAGTATATTCTAAAAGTAAAAGCTGAGATTTTGAAAGAGAACATGAGTTTTATAAGATTGCACAAGATATGGACAGATACTAGCAGAGTGTCTAGGATAAGGGATCGTGCTTTGTCAACACTTGCTGGAAGACGAAAAGTAAAGTATACAAAGCTGATCTAATTTTCTACATTTGTGTGCATACAGTTTAATTATTAAAAAATAATAAATTTTTAGAGGTTCAGTTATTAAAACCAGAACAAAGCCAATAATTTTTAATGGGAGTTAAATTGCTTGGATCTAAAACTGCTAAGGAGAAGTTGTATACATGAAATTTATATAATTTCTGAAATTTATTTAATCTCCTCAGTTACTTTATATACTTTATATGTGTTTATATGTGTATACATGAAATTACTTTGACATATGTATTCAAAGTGCATGTTGAATATGCTAAGTGACACTTCTTTTGCAGTCCTTTATATGTATGTGTTCAAACACCAGACACAACAATAACTGGTTTCTAAGTGCAGGGTCAGGAGTAGTAGGAGGAGTCTTCAAGCTCTTAAAATGTCAGCATCTAAATGATCCCAAAGATGCATTCCTGTGAGTGCTGGAAATGAGATTTTTGTGATCAGAGCCTGGCCTTTGCTCAATCTCCCTTATTCTCAACGCTTAGCTCCTTGTCCTGTTTCAGCTGAATTTGGCCACACGTGGAGTTTTGAGTGATATTTAATTCCTGCAGACTTTGGCAGTCATTTGAGTTTTAAGCGACTCAATAGTGGAGAAATCTTAACTGCCCCTTTTTAAAGAGAGCAGCAGTGAAACTGAGATGCCCACCCTGTGCCCTGCCAGTCAGTGCTAGTAGAGTGGCTGGTCAGTGCCTGGGGACAGGCTTGGTTAGTAAACAAAGGTTACAAGTCTCATAAAACCAAGGTATGGGACAGTTTGCTAATAATAATAACTAATAATAAAAATGACTACTTCTTTGTTTCCACATATGTATAAATAAAGCTGTGAAGGCTTAATGGATAGCAGAGCTGTTCCTTCCAAGTTTTTGCTTACATATGTTATTTTATAGGACTAAAAGGAATCTGTGGCTTTTTTGTTTTTCCTGGAAGTCTTGCTGGGAGCGAAATTCTCATTACAAAGCAAAGGAATTATCAATATACAGGGCAAAATTATATTAAAATTGGAAATAAATTCCATCATAACAGCTTTTCTGTACTTAGATATTAATGTGTTAATTCCACAGGCTTTGAATTTATTCAGTCAAATGACTGCCATGTAGCAATTATCTCAGCTGTAATCCCTGCGCTATTTGACTGTTACCTGAGTAGAATGAGCACTGTGCCTGCCATGGATATGGCAGTGTTAAGATTTGACTTTTTTAAAAAACAAAACAAAACAAAACAAAAACCCCAACCCCAAAACGCCACTAACTTTTAAAATTTCAAGTGGTTATCTTTTCATGAACTGGATAGTTCTTCAGTAAGAATTATTGGACAATTAAAATCTTATTTAAAAATAAAAGAGGAAGGAGACTGTTCTCAAAATTGGAAATTTTTGTGGCGAGAGTGGCTGAAATACTAGCCTATTTCGTAACTTTCATTTAAAAAAAGTACAATTAATAAATGCCCAGGACGTATATATGAATATTTGATATGTATGGTATAAAATTGTGGACAATGAAATGTAAGGACAGTAAATCCCTCTATGCTGTAATTAAAGTGAGGATGAGATGCTTGCTAGAAGGAAGTTACTAGGCTTTGTAACATTTGGAATTTCAAGTTTTGGTCTTCCTCAAGAATGATGGTTCCATTCTCGTTGCATCTCATCTTTCTTCTGCTCAGGGCAATTGCAGCTGTGCAGATGCTTAAGTCTGTTCTGATTATATTGTGTATAAAAGGTGGTATAAGGACTGCTTATACAGTAAGAATATGAATAAGCATAGAATACATCAAAGATTAAGAAAACAATCTTCAAACAGAGCTGTATATATATTTTTTTAAAATTTTGTGTCTCCTGATATCATAATGTCTTTCAAATCCTGTTGGGATGCCTTTCAAAGGAAGATACAAAACCCAAATATATACTTAGTTAAACACAAATTGAACTCACTTTATATAACCTATATTACATGCTTAAAAAAAATTGAGGCTTTTTTGTGAGAGATTAACATTTAAAAGGAAATAATTTTCTTAAGTGTACTAGTTACTTAGGAAAAAAATAAAAATATTATTAAAAGTAGTTAAAAATAATTGAAAGCAGTTGAATTCATGTGTAGGACTGCATGTGTATTTTAATATAAATAAGTGTAGAAAGGTAAACAGACCTCAAGTTCTTGTAGCTTATGTAACATTGAGACTAGACATAATATTTATAGCTTGTACTTGAATTTGGTGAACTGAAGTGATTTTGTCTTTCAAATTTTTGTATATTTCAGTGTAAGTAAAATGTGATTATATTTTGGTGAGAATATTACTTCCTGAGAGCTATTCTGTTGACAAAAAATGAAATAAATGTTTACAAAACATCATTTCATGTGAAACTCACCAAACTGATCTGCACTATTAAAAGACAAGTCTGTTTTACTATTTAGAGATGTGGAATATTGTTTGTAACAATGTGTTTACAGCAAAGAACAAAATACTTATTGATGTCTTAGAATTTAGAGGAAGTGTGTGCATGTTGTATACACACATTCTAATTTTAAGGCCATGATGGAAGTTACAGAAAAGACTCTACCTTGATTTTTTTTTATATGTTATGATCATTGATCATACTTTCTTCAGGGTGACCTTTATTTTGATTTAATTGGCTACCTTTGTTATAAACTTTTTTCTTTCTCCCCAAGTAGTGTGTTGTGAAACCAGAATATCCAGAATATTTGCAAATGATGTTCAGAAAGGTAATTTTATTTTCAGACTTCTATATTTCATGTGCTGAAGGAAGGCTTAGGCTGTTTTTGATTGAGACTTTTCCTATTTTATTGAGCAGTGGTGTTCCAGGATCAAGCTGAATTGCACAGCATAAGAAGGGAGCAGTGAGCATTTGATGGAAGCAGATAATAAAATGCATCAATTGTGTCAGCACCTCGTTGCAGTCACATCTGGCTTACTGTCAGGGTACCATTAGATTCCTGTGGTTTTATGTGCCAAAAATAATATGCTTTGTAGTTAATAGAACTAGGATATTTGCAGTTTGATTAAAAAAAATCATCCTATTTTCTTTCCGATCTCTGTTGGGCTTAAGTTCAATCAGAGCACAGCCTTGTCTCCTTAAAATTTTACGACTGAAAGATCAATTGTTCTTTTGATCTGTTTCTTTCTTTCTCTTATTACAGTGAATCCAGCAGTCTGAGCAGCAGTGATGCTGGTTTGTTTACCAATGATGAGGGAAGACAAGGTATTGAAACAATCTTTCCCTTCTCCACCCCTCAAATCACATCAGTTGAAAATCTGTAAGCGTCACAAGTTATTTCATAGGTTAATTACTATATTTCAGTTGCTTTACTATTTTAATGAGTTGAAGTATAGCTTGCTTTCTGGGTTTTTTGAAATGTTACCAGAGGGTGTCCAAAATCCATGACTTAGTCAAAAGCTGTCTTGAGAAGCAGTCTCTGTACTATAATAAACTTACAACTTCAGCATCTTCCAAAGATCATCTGTACTAAGTTACATTTTGTCAATTCCTTCAATTTCCAGACAGGACTCTCTGATCACAGACTGCGTCTCAAACTAGTTTTGAGGTGGCTTTTTTCTTCTTTTTTTTTTTCCTTCCAAATTGATATGGCAGGATTTTATAGTTCTTTTTCATTCAGCAATCTATGGTTGAGATTAGAAGATGCATGCTGTTTAAAGTTTCTCCTTTCTGAAAATTTTTTCTTTAAAATACAGTGAAGATTCAGAATTTTCCTTTAGTATGCATAATGTTCTTATGTGAAAAAACTATTGAGGATGCAAGTATAAGACTTTTTTTTCAGCTTTACCTTTCATTGCCACCTTTAAGTGCAACACATTTATCTGTATTATGCTAGCATCTTAGTGCCCACATTATGGACTAGGAAGTCACTGTCTTTGACAGTATACAAAAATGAGGCAAAAACCAGTCTCTCAGATGATTAAGACTAGCTTTTTGGTTGGCAATTCTAAGTTAATAGTAATGGATATTATTTTCTTATGCACTTTGCCACAGACTACTAGACTGTATGCAAGAAAACAAATCCTGGCCCATTCCTCAGATCTAGGTTAAAGGAATGTTCTGGGTTTTGTTGGTTTTGTTTTTGTTGTTTGTTTTTTTTTTTTTTTCCTTAGTATGTTATTCAGTCTCTTCTGTTTGTTTTTTTGTTGTTTTGTGTTTTTTTTTTTTTAACATTGTAGTATGGAGATGATTTTTAAGACATAGAACAGAGGTGTTGCCTTCCTTACTCAACAGAAACTTGTGTTACATAAACTGTATCTGCCAGTCTGAGTATCTGTTTCTAGTTGCGCTAACAAAGAGCTTTTTTAAAGAATTTAGGCTCTCTTTGAAAGTTTAGATCAATCTTTTAACTTCAGTATTTCAGTGAGGCATGTCAAAAATACTTGCTTTTATTTCCCTATATTAATTTCTCTTTTGACTAGCAATTTTTAAAACACTTGTCTGCTTTATCTGTATGTGACATAACTGACTACATTTCACAATAACATACATTTTTGAAGTACCCTACTGATATACTTGTATTAATATTTTTGTCCTTAAGTCCTGAACTAAATTATTTAAGTCTTTGAATAATATGGTTGAAAACGCCTTAGTTGCTTTCTGTTTTTCTTACATATTTTGTAGGAGGAGAAAAGTAGAGAGAATAGTGAACAACAGTGCTCTTTCACTGATGTGTCATTACTTTAAGTGTTCTTTTTTTAATATAGAGCTGTAATTCTTTTTTTTGCCTGTTTGATTTGTGAACCTTGATTCAATTTGATTGTAATTTTCAAGCAGAAAGCATTAGACCTGAAGGTAGTATTCTGAAATATTTTTTTTTTGTGGGTATAATCAGAAGACCATTAGCTTCACACTGGATTTCAGATGTTCTTAGATCTGCATTATAGCTTTGGTTTTGTGAAGACTTTTCCATGAAAGTACTATGAGATCCAACTGCAAAACCAAAATTTTATTTTCTAGTAATACTTACTCCATCTCCAGAGATGCTAGTAATTTTTATCTTTGTACTCCCCTTATGAAGTGAGATGATATTTTATCCAGTAAATTAATTTATACCTAAACTGAGATGCATACAAAATTGAAAGAATGAAGGAAGGAGAAAAAAAAAATCTGATTAAAAAAAAAAAAAAAAGAAAAGTCTAGGTGGGAGAAACAAAGCTGGAAGAGGAAAGGATGAAAATGTATTAACAACTGCCTGATTTTTTTTGTCCACCTTTAAAAGCTAGACTCTGATTCCTGTCTTCCCAGTGTCCTTCCTCCAGGATATGTGTTCAGAACATCAGCATCTTGACCTCATTTGTAGTTCAAATTTTCTGCACTTCTGACTTCAGGTTTCTGCTAAGTCAAGTGGAGAACCAGAGATTGATTAATGCTGCCTGGTGAAATACTTGGTTTAAATGATGTGCCTGCCATCATTCAGAAGTTTAGGTACCAGAGGATCCTGTTCTCCAGGGCAACATTTGTTCATTTTGTGTCTCTGAGATTAAGAACCATATCTCATTTATTGCAGACAAATACTCTTTATAAAACCCTAATTAATTCCCAAAGCATATTCATCCTATGGGACAGACCTTCTAGAAAAGAAAGTTATCTAACACAGCAACTTCTTCAAGCAGTTGGCCAGCCAGTTAAATAGTTGGCTGTTTCATTCTGAACTTTGGAGTGCTGCCTGACTTTGCAATGTTTAATATTTTCCAAAATTGTTTCAGAAAGACTATGGAAATAAGTTCCACAACAGTAACTGTCGTTTTAGTTTTTATAATTCAATTCAAGAAAGCCAGGTGTAGCTATAACTGGGGGTAGTATTGGGTTAATTGCTAGATATATTTTAATTGACATCAGTTGCTAAGAAAAGAAAATTGCTGAGACTTGAAAATTCTGTGTTCAACTTCTAATATGTGGTGTTCTATCTAACAGGTTTTTTTAAAAACTTCTATACCCTTTCCTTTCCAGCCTGCCTCTGTTCCAGTCTTCTATCTTTTTTGTTTGATTTGTTTTGTTCCTATGAAGTCCTCATCTGAGTTTAGCCATGCTTGTCCTCCTTTTCCAAGTTATCCAGGTGCTTACATTAGGTCATGTGAGAGGGCAAAAGCAGGTCTCTTGCTGTGCTCAATTCTACTATCATATTACCTTCTGGCAGAAGTAATTGGTACTTGATGTTTTGCAGTCTCAATGTGGCAAATGTTTTTCTTCTGTGAAACATTGCATACCCTGTACAGTTATCAAGCAAAAGCTTAAAGATCATGGAAAATGCTCAGTGCAGGTACAGTCAGCAAAGATAGCTGCTGAAATATTAACAAACCTCAAGTGAACTTCAGTTACTTTGTATTTTTTTCCGAGGTTTGTAAATTGGTCAACTTCGGGGTAAGATCTAATATAGTTAGCAAAAAAACAAAATTGTATGTAAATGTCAAGCCCTTGAGTATGGAGGTAGGAGAGCCTGTCAACAAAGTAACTGAAGGAACTGAACAGTGGCTGAAGCTTACATATCAGAAATGGCTGTTTTGCAATTATTAAAAACTTTAATGATAAGCAGTGTTATGCCTGAGGTAGAAAGAATACAAGAATAGTTTTGAAACAAAGTTTTGAATCTTAAGATTGCAGCATATAATGCAACACTATTATAGTCCTAGCTAGTAGGATCATCTGCAGTTTCAAGGCACTTTACAGGGCTGCTTTACAAAGGCACTTTGTAAGTTTTCAACACAGTGTTAACAAAGCTGTAACATTATTCAAACACTAGTTGGTCTTATTGCTGTTTTGGAAAAAAAAAAAAAGTCAAATTACAAGTATATTCTTTAATTAATTTTATAGTGTTGGTATGGCAAATAAAACATTCTGCATTCCTAGTCCATCTATACCTACTAGTACACTTGGGGAAATTCAAAGTTGACTTAAGACCTCTTACATCATGACATGCAGTACTTAAAATGTCCTTTAAGATCTAAGCAAGTAGGAAAGAAAATTATATTAATAAAGTGTTAAACAGTTAAAATTGGAGGAGGTCGGGGAATGTCAGAGTCCCACTGTGGATGTGGCTAAGCTTTTAAAGATAGCTGTTCATTATTTTATGATTAAACATATATTTATTACTGTGTCCTTTATGAAGATGACCCACTACTGATTCCATATATGAGAATTCCATCCTTTTGTCTTCTCTAGTGAGAAACTAATTTGGACCTTGTATAGCATTTTAGTAGCTGCAGGTGTTGCAGTTGTGTTCTCCATATATAAAAGAAATAAAATGTGCAATACTAACTGTAATCACGGTAGTTTTTAACTGTTGTGGCTAATTAGTTAATAGTCTTTGCAGGTGAAAAAAAAAACAACAAAACAAACATGAAGTTGTTGTGTATGACCTAAATAGTTGAAATCCTAAATCTTGCATATGGACCACAATAGTAGAGTTGAACATAAAGCTGAGAACCTGTGATATCCTTAGTCTAATTTATTAACAGTACACCTGTACAGCCCTACTGAAGAGCAGGGTATGATATTAAATTGGATGAGGGATGGGAAAAGGCCTTCCTGTGAAGTTTCCAAGCTTGAATCAGAAGTAGCTGCTTAAATTGAATGGTGGCCTGCTATCCCTTTTGCCAAGGTAATTCTGTAGAGTGCAAAGAGCAATATGTAGTATACCTCTGTGGATGGGTAACTTAAGCTTCTGTTTTCCTGAAACTCCTTCTGTGTGTTTTAGTAAATCTTCTGATGTCTACAAATTATTATTGCAGCTGTTAGCAGTGGGGTTTTTTTTAACTAGAAAGATGTACACTGGTCATGGAAATGAGACTAGCATCCCAGGGTGTTTATAGTCCATGTGCTATTGCTCTCTGAGTTGGTGGATAATGGACAGCACAGTATCAAGTGGTGTTGATAGGACACTGGTGCCAAACTCCTTTCACAGTAGCCCCTCAAAGTACATTGTGGTTGTTATGGGCAAGCACACATATACCATATGCAACTGCTATGGAGGGTAGTCTGGCCATTTTGAAATAAAAGAAAACTAGGAAGAAGGGGAAAAGTATTTGTGTGCAGTGGAAAGTTTTTGTTTGTTATAATCCTCCATTGCTTTAGCTAAAAAAAGATTCAGGTGAGGCCATTCTGAACATGAAACTGATGGTGATGCAAATGGGGTCTGTGTCCATAGAGAAACCACAGGAAACCCACATAAATAATTTTCTAAACTTCTTAGGGAAGGCAAGTAATTTACATATCTATCGAATCACCACTCCTTCACATTAGACTCAATAATATAGCGTAAAAATTAGGGAAGTGGTAAGGGGGGGGTGGCATTGCTTAAAAATAAATAAATTCAACAACAGAAGTGCCTTGAAATTTTAGAATTTATGTTGACATTTCTGAGCCTTAAATTGCTTTTAATTTTTTGCATGGATCGGTACAGTTATAACTGAATGTAAATTGAAGTCATTCCTTGAAGCATTAGCATCACCCACAAACAAGTCTATTGTATTTTAAGTATGTGGCTAGGAGAATGCATGGGCATGGAGATTAGTTTCTGGAGATAATTTTATCTTTCCTATAGCTTGGAAGAATACAGCAATTTGCTGTAGTCTTGTGCTGAATCAGTATCCCTAAGAGGAAAGGACAGTGTAGTGAATCTTTTGAAGTCAAAAATGTTGCTTTCAATTACTAATTCTCTGAAGTTCATGTTTGCTGTGGATACTGTGTTGCCTTTTGAGACCTGCAAATTAAGTAGGATAAAATCCAAATATTTGGTTACCTAACCCTTGAGTGGGGAGGTCTCTGTGTTATATTGCTTATATGTATGAAGTCAGGAATTGATTAAATGTGGTGGTGTTCTCTGACTCCTTTTGATAACAGCATCCCTTCAAGGTGGAGCAACTGGTAAACAAAATTCCTGTTCTCACCTGGATAAGATTAGTAGTAATAAGTTTATGCTTGCTTCAAGATGATGATATGATTGAAAATTGTCAAAAGATTCAGTTTTTTAAAGTGTACAGATGAGGAAGCTAAAAGCTGGGTATACCTGCATTCTGCTGTCATGTGGAAAAAGCCTGTGAGGTTCAGATCTTAAATCCATCTTTGGCAGTAAATATAAGTGCTTAGGGAAGTGTATAATAGCATAACAGGTAAGATGCCTTAACGGATAGTTGCTTAACATACTAATATTCCTATTACACAAAAAAGAAAAATAATTGTGTATTTTTTCCCAAAGTGCTGTTGCTGGGCATATGGTGAAGATACCAGTGTTCTTCCATAGCCACTCTTTGCCTTTTCCTGCAGACCACCAACCCAGTCTTGCATTGCCTAACTCTTACAGGCATCTGTCCTTGAGCTGATTGTGAAACCCGATTTCAGAATTCTGTGCTTACTTTCATAACTAAATAATGTGTAACAACACTTCTTTTGAGTTCCTGATTTTATTTCTTAGTAGGCAAGGTGTCTAGAGTTCTCATCTTAATGATAAAATATTCAGACAAAGTTTATCTACATAAGTTTGAACTCCTCTGTTTTGATTTTCCAAACTTAATTCTAAACCCCAAATCAATCTAATGAAAAGGGGTGATTCTCCTTCTACCACCACCACCATCTCTCTTCAGTACTCTTAGACATGCTCCAAAGAAACCATACCTGCTGCAACAAAATGAGGATAGAATTAATGGTGAACGCCTTTGTGAAATGTCATAGCTATAAATGAGGATTAGAATAAATACGAGAATAATCTGAAGAAACGTAAACCTTATTTGGACCTATCTATCTCTTTCACCTGTTTTCTCCTAATTCCATTGAGTCCCTGTTCTCTAACATCTGCTAATTCTGCTTTTAGGAGTGATCATTAAAGATGTAAGGATAACATTTCACCTACAAGTAACCAGTGAGGGGCCTAAATTATTCTATATTTTCTTGAAGTACTTGTCCTGATGAATGTTTACAGACATTTTGACTTTTGCTTGGTCTTGAAATACTTTTTTCATTGCAGTAACTTATTTGGAGAAAGTGTGTTGAATTTTATTTTTCCTCAAATTCTGATTTGGGTTTTCATTATTTGTATTTTCTCGTTGTGGGGTTGAGTGGCAATGAAATTTTACATGAATGCTTTTTGTGCTTGAAAACTGTGTCTAAAAAAATCTTACATTTGTGTCTTGCTTGGTTCTGCCTAATTAAAAATTGAAATGACAAACAATTTATATGCAGAAATAGCAAGGCATGGTTTGATACTTTGAAGTAGAATTAAAATATACAGCACGTACTTTAACTTTAGGGCTTAAGAAATGAAGTTTGCCATGTCTTGTGAAGATATTTTCTGATATTCTGTAAACTACCAGGTTTGTAGAAAAGAACATTTTAAAACAAACCTAACAATATATTTTTAGTTGCCAGTGCATTTATGTGCTAAGTTTTTAAGATCAGAATTTCACTCTTGTCTTACTTTTGACTTTAAATATGGGTATTTACGTACTACACCTATAAATACTGTCAGTGAAAATGACCAGCTTTGTAGTATAATGCAGCATAATTCTCAGTCACATGATACTGTCAGTTTTCATTTAAAATCAACTTTTTCAAAACTTATTTCTAAGTGAACTTAATCAGATTAACTTCATTTAGTCACATCTGTTCATGATTGTTTTTCCCTTTTACTAGCCATACAAATCATGAAATTAAGCTAATTATATACCATTATCAGCTGCAAAGAACTAGTTTCACAGTTTTATACCTTTTAATTCCCTGCAGGAGATTAAGGCTTGTTTTTTGTTAATATGTAAAGTGCATTAACTTAAATGGATTTCCCTGCAGTTATTGCCAAAGAATTAACTAGTTTATTATTGTTTTTCACTATTGTAAATTGGTTTAAAAACATTACATTTTATGTGGTTTTATTGATAGCAGTGCTTGTCATGCTATTGAGAAACATTTTCCAAATAGAACTGCTATATACAAGTAATTGTTATACAGCTATAAAGCAAAAGAAATAATTGTCCTGTCAGAGTATTTATTGATGGTAACATCTGATTTTTATCTCCTCTGCTCCTCCCTGTTTTTTGGGGCTTGGGGGATATTGCCCTCACACAGGTGATGATGAGCAGAGTGATTGGTTTCACGAAAATGAATCTGGTGGAGCGTGTGGAATTACAGGGGTCATTCCATGGTGGGAACAAGAAGACTCTACAGAACTGGAGAGAGAATTGCCTGATCCAGTCTTTGAAAGTATCTTAACTGGTACTTTCCCTCTTATGTCCCGTTCAGGGCGGAGAGGTAAGTAGCAATCAAGCAAATGCAAACTGTAGAATCACTTGGGCACAGTAGGAAGATATCTGTGGATTTTACAAAATATGTAAAATGTTGACAAGATCTTAGAGCTACTGGCTTGTTTCCTTGAACTATTTAATTTTTAAGGTATCTTTAGAGAGAAATAATTAAAAACAACAATTAGAAAAGTCCGAAAGTGTAAAACTACTCTTTTATTTGTTGTCTCAATGTTTACACTGAGAATTATTAAGTGTTATTTAAAATGCACCTTTATATTCCATTTTGTTCCTGGCTTCTGTGGTGATGTTTTAGAATTCTGTAGAAGTTTGTTAATTCAGAGGCTGGAAAGACTAGTGTGACCATCTGCTTTGCTTTATGGTCAGGCCCTATTGTTTGTAGAGAAGAGGGAAGGGTTCCTTTAGAGCAAGGATTGAGGTTGTAACTTAGAAAATAGAAATTTTTTTTTTTCATTATAATACATCAGGCAACTGTGGATCCAGTGTATCCATTAGTAAGTGGTACCAGTGTTAGATTGCATTTACAGCTAGGAACTCACTCTTGTCTAAAGATTGAAGTTGTCAGACCTCAGCTTGCTGCCAAAGAATTTTGTTGTACCTCCCCTCTGCCACAAGGATCTCTTCTCATGTTCAAATACAGATCTTTTATGGGAGCAGTGGTCAAATCACCTTTAAGCTACTCTGCGTACTTAATGTATTCAGTTTTTTGTGAGGCTTGTTTTCCAGATGCTTGGAATTGTTTCTTCTTTTTTGTAGGTTTCCAGAGTAGATTTAGTCATCTTCATGGAATGCCAGCAAGAAACATAAAAAAGGCTTCAGGAAACTCGAATGCATTGGTAGGTGCTTTTATTATTGTAAGCTAATGTGCACTGTTCTTAGAGGTTTTTTTAAAAAGCATATTCCTCTCATGCTTGTTCCCTGATCTTGTAGATAAGCGATGGAACAGTAAGATTACACTGCTACTGCTGCCAGATATTGTGTATTTGGGTTTTTTAATAGTTAACACTCTTATCACTGAAATTCTGTTGTAACGGAATATTTGTGTGTAATTGAATGGCAGAAACAGTCTAATACTGTTTGTCAGTAGTTATTTTGAACTGAGTGAAGGAAAAGTTTTGGAGGGGGGCTTATTTAACATTTTCAGTGTATATGTTATGTCTATATGAAACCATGTTTTTCTCACAGTGAAAATAAAACCAGTTATTTTAAGTTTTTCTGATCCTGAAAGCATTCTAGGATGGATTGTGGTACAATTCTGACTTTTTTTTTTTTTTCCCTCACAAAAGTCTGCTTTGAAAAATCTGTCCTTATTTTCTTTTGTTTGGTTGACTTCTGTGGTCAGGGGAAAGGGTATATACAAAAAAATTTAAAGCAAGTTAGCACTCTACCTGGCATAGACAGCATGCATTCCTTCCTAAGGCTGTGACTACAAATGAGAGATGTTTGGAGTTTTTTAGTGCCTTCAACTCTAGGAGCAATATTTACAAGAGAAGAGAAAAATTCCAATTGTCTTTGCATTTTTTGCACAGTCTAATCATTGGATTTTCCCACAGCTTTTTTCTAAAATAAGATTCTAATAAATTTTTAAGAATTTCTTCTTTGAAGGAATGCATAAGAAGAAGAGAGACTTCACTTTAAAATGTTAAAATGTCTTCATTGTAGTGCAGTCTATTCCTTTCTTACCAGAATAGTGTTTGGAACAGGAGAATGTGGGAGACTTTATCAGTGTGTAATAAACATACCCCAGCATGATAAATACTGCAACATTGATGTTCTTTACTATTTGAGAACATCAGGTGTTTTCAGATTTTAATTTGTCTAAACAAAATGTGGTGCTTCTGAGAAATGTAAGGGCTATTATATGTGGGGAGAACAGAAAGGAACTGTTAGAAATTTAATTCATTTTGAAGAGGGAATGTTTTTATAATTGAAGTCCCTATCCAATAATTGCCATTTGGAGCTGAATAAAATGCTTTAAAACCTTGGCCTGTGATCTCTGCTGTTAGTGGTCGTGAATTAGATGAAAGCTATCTAGTTCTTGGTTTCCTATCTGCCTATTTTTATTTTTGGTTCAGTGCTTGCTTGAGCATATCTGGGATTTGTAGCCCATTTTCTAGGCTTATTGCAATTTCACTCTGGTATTTTATAGGAGCTATTATAACTGATAGGTTAGCTTCATGGTATTGATGATACATGGCTTAACTACCCTAAAAACTGTCTTTTCCTCTAAATTGTAAAAAGGTGATTAAATTTCAATTGATTAAGATATGCTGTGAATATGTGTATATAACCAAAATTCCTAGTGTTTATTTTCTGCTACATTTCTGCATTGACCTTAGGAGCCCATTTTGTCTTCCAGTCATGATATCTCATATAGACATGATATCGTTGTTCTTTTTGTAACACAAATGCAAGCTGATCTACTAAAACCTGATAATTCAGTTACCTCCAGTTATTAAATACATCATTTACATAGTGTTGTGAAACAAGGTTGACATGTGAACATACCTTCTAAACCACTATGTTTAGGCAGGAGTGCATATATAGAGTGGATGTGCAGTTGGCTCTTCAGATGCGGCTTTCTGACCTTCTTAATGACTATTTATGTTTGTGGGCACATCTGCTGCATCCATCTTGCAAACATAGCTCTTATAAGCCAGAGCTCGTGTGCTTCCTTTTGTCAGTGATTGCTTCTTAAAGAAAATCTTTTTTAGATACTACAATCCAATGACAAAAAAAAAGTAATTTAATACCTGTGACATCTGATAACACAGAACAAGAAGTAATTACTGCTATTAGATGGTAACAGTGAAGAAGAACAAGAATGCTTTTAGAGAGATTAATATCCTGAGGAAAGAACACTGCAGACTCAACTCATTGAATAGAGTTGTGGTATCACAATTCTTTTTTAACAGCAAGGAGTCTGCTGTCTGTATCATTGCTTTTACGCAGACTTTGAAGGGAGACAAGGTAAGAAATGGATTTACCTCCTGAGATACAGTACCTAAGACACACATAGTATCCTGTATTCTGTCTAAGGATATGTAGTTGGTATCCAGGGAATGTAAGCATATAGTTGGCCCTTTGCATACAGTCAATGTGTGTTTAAACTTTTTTAGAAAGCTTAGTTTAAGTTTCACAGTTACAGCAGCTAGCAAAGCCTTGAAGAGATTACTGGTTTAGGAAGATAGAATGAATAGCTGTGATAATACCTTGTTATATTGTAGTCCTCTGTCAAAAAGTGTTTAATGCCTGTTTGGGTGTCGTCCTGTGAGAGAAACACCTGGCTAAGTGTGATTGTTATTTGCTATATACTGAGAAAGCCACCAGCTTACGTCATTTTTACACCACGGTTTCTAGAAGCAGTAGGAGCTGGGAATCAGAGGAAAAATGCTGCTCTTTATGGACCAGTTAGTGAAAATTAGAGGTAGCCACAGCTGGTACTTAGATTCTGTCAAGAATACTATGAAAATAGAATTCTGTCAAAACTATGAAAATCCTTGCCTAATTCAATGTGCAGGTTGAATGAGTTGTCATACAACAGATGACAACTGCAAAATCCGAGCAAGAAAATAAAAAAAAAAAAAATTCAGCACAACTGGCTTATATCCTTTGGATCATGGAATTCATAATTAAATGGTTTGTCAGGCATGTATTTTGGCATACAATTACAATGCTGGCTTTTCATGTCTTCATTGTTTTGTGGCAGCATTATTTGTAACAGAACTTTATTTGAAAATAGATAGAAGAAAATGGCTTTTCTAATACGCTGTGCTTTTGATCCCCCTGTGTCAAGTTGCTAGTAGCAGCTTTGTAATCAGAAACGTGTACTTTCATACCATATTAGTATTTAATGTACTCTTAATTTTAAATAAGGTATATTGCATGAAATCTGACTGTGTTTGGTTGAATTCTGCAGTTATATGACCTGATCAACTATTCCCAACACCTACTTTCTTTTTGTTAGGCAAAAATCCTACAATTTAGTAGTAGTGCTCTATGAATGAAATGCCGATTTCTTAGAAGGAATGCTTTTTTCACCCAGTCATCTGTAGTTTATAGACTTGCATGTCAATTAAGTAGTACTATATCTCTGTCCTTTCCAATAAATTACATGTGAAACTTTGGTATTTAGCAGAATATAATTAGAAACCTAACATTTTAGATGCATTGGAAATGGGAAGGTTTATTTCTATGATGTAGAATGATAGATGAACTCTTTACATTCAGTGATTAAGGCTGCCATGCTTTTCTGAGAATAATTCCTGGGGAGATCACAAAACCCCTAATTAAAGAAAATAAGAGTCAATTATAGTTAGTGAAAATAGAATGAGACTACTTTTTAGGTTTTCAAGTTGTTTTGTCCAATTTAGTATATAAGGACTGAAAATTTTCACTTTTGTTCACAACTTCTTGTTATAAATAAGTGAACGTTTTAAAAATCAGTGCTGCTGTGTTAGCTGTTCCTTGTGTGGTTCTTGATACAGTTCGTTCCCTGAGACAGGGAGAGACATTGTGCAGTTTTGTTTGAGGGTCTTATATGTCGTCTCTTCCTGTCTGGGTTGGAAGCTGGGAAGTGATTTCACTGGGCTGAAGTGCAAAACTATGACCAATAAAAAGGATGCTTTCTTTCGACTGCCAATTTTTCCATCCGTCAGCTTTATCTTATGGGTTTTGATTTCATGATATTAAAGACAGCCGATTTTAAGTCTCGTACTCCTTGGATTGATTTTTTGCATGGCTGTGCTATTGAGTTTGACTATACATAGTTGTAATTATTCAGAAAGTACGTAAAGAATTAAAGCTACGATTCTGAGACCTGTTACTTGAAGGTGTGTGGGTATTTCTGTCAAATCCTGTGATTCTTTTTCAAAAGTTCAAAGATAAAAGAGCTTTTCTGAAAAAAAAAAAAAAAAAATTGTTAGATAACTACTACTCTGTTGATGTGAGGAGAAAAGTTGTATTGAGCATTTGTGCTTTTAGTTAACTGCTTTCAAAATGTAAGATCAAACATTGCTGCTTCTAAGTTCCTTCTAACTGAAGAAATGGCTAAGTGTATTCAGGATTGTTTTCCTTGTCAAAATATTTTGGAAATTGAGTGAAACGGTATTAGATAAGATACCTTGTTACCTTCTTATGGACTGTTTCCTTAAAGAGTAACTTGGGCATTGGTTTTACAGTATTGGTCAGAAGCCTCTTTATGGATGCTCTGCAGCTTTTGGAACGCTGCTTCTCAAGGGAAAGTTGGTTTGGTGTTGTAGAGAATTCTCTTACATTAAAGGTGTGGCATACAGTCATATAAAATACAATTCATTTTTTGAAGTGCATGAAATAAGCTATCTGTTTGGTTTTAATTATTTTCTTCCATTAATACCTTTTATCATTTGGAGCAATAGTCTCTATGTCAAACTCTGGAAATATGAGTGGTATTAGATGATGTCTGATAAAAAAAAAAACCTATTGTTGGATTCCAGACTTTCACTTGTTCAAGATCAGGACTGTTAGGCCTCTGTGTCTGAGGATGACATTTTGAAAACTTAAGCTGCTAAAGCTGTGAATGAATTTTCCTTCCAGTGCATAGGAGGGTAGGGGCTTTTGATTTTTATAATGGGGATTTTATTAAGAATTCTTGTCATCAAAAATATTTTCATCTATTTAAAGCATTTCTTGCTGCTTTGCCTTTTATTTTTTTTATCCTTGTTTGTAATGGTTTTAAATTTTTATCTGCTTATGCAAAATACAGTGAATAATTTGTGCTCTTTTAATCCTAACTCTAGTTAACTCAGTACCTTAGTTTTACAACATAGAGGGAAAAACTTCCTTGAGGAGTGAGTGG